AGACCCTTGCCATTTGCAGGTTTGTGGTGGCGATTTTGATGATTTGCGGTAGGTAGGTAGGTAGTAGGCAGCTACCAAACAGGGAGGTACTACCGTCTGGGAAGATATTGGAAGCATAATGTATTGTCTAATGGTAGACCCTGCTGCCATATGGCATCACAAAAATTGTGGTCAAGTCCCAGGTTGCTGATCTGTCTTTCTGCCACATTTACATCTCAAATTGTCTCTCTTACTTTGACAACACAACACATACAGTATAACCATACTCACTCTTGATCTGCTCTATTCTTTCTATTCTCCTATGATGTTGGTTGAGAATAATATTGAAATGGGGCCTTCTCGGATGGGTCCCACTGGTCAGGAAGGTTGTGACCCCAGGGCCGACCTGATCATCGTCAAATGACTGGGGCCTCAACTGATGTCACCGCGGTTGCTGGAGGATCGGCTTTTATCACACTTCATTTTTCCAACATTCACAGCCTGAGATCCAATTTTCCCCCTGTGGAGCACCATCTATTAACCTCTTCCCCAGACCTCTTACTTCAACTGACCAAAGCAGTTTCACCCAAACTTTTTCAAGTCTCCAACTACAACCTTTATACCTCTTTCCATTCTAAGGGAGGTGAAAGTTCCTACTGCAACACATGTTACACCTATAGCTCGACTCACGGATCTTGAATCTTCCCTTTATGATGTCATCTGGCTCAAAATATCTCTACCAACTATGACTATTTTTCTTTGTTTCTATACTGTTCTCCCAACTCTACCAACTATTTAGAACTCTTTGACTATCTCACTTCATGCCATGAGTCATTGCTATCCACACACCTCAACACCGAGGTCCTCTATCGAGGGGATTTCAATGTACATCACAGAGTGGTTTGGCTGAGGCACTCTCTTTTTCCTTACTGTATGATCTGGAACAAATAATTAAACACCCTACATGTGTTCCAGATCAACTTACTGGCACTCATGGTCTTTGTTTTATCTCTAACCCCTCACACTCTTCATACTCAATTTCTGCCCCCTTAGGGTCTTCTGATCACAACCTTATTTCTATTAAATCAAACTGGGCATGACCACCTCCCCCACCCCCTCTAACTGCCAACTATGGCACTATTGGAGGGCAAACTGGCAATCCTTGTGAGAATTCTTTTCCGACTTTCCTTGGGATGAATGTTGCTTTTCCACTCGGGACGCCTCGGTATCTGCTGGAGTTATACAGGGTGGTATGAGTGCATTTATCCCATCTTCTATCAAAACTTTCACTCTACAATCATGGTTTGATCACACCTGTTCTCTTGCATGTAGGGAGAGAGATAGGGCATATCAAGTTATGAAACTACAGTTTCTCCTTCTCCTATTACCCACTCCTCTTTCATAACTTCTAGGAATTGTTAAAAAGCGGGAATTTTATAAAAAGAAAGACCGCTGTTCTGACTAACTCTTCTTCTCATAAATACTTCTTTTTCTTAACCAAAAACATCTGAAATAACTTCTGCACTCCCTCTTTTCCAGCTCTCTTTCGACCTGATAACTCTAAAGCTAACTCTCCCCCTGGTAAAAACAATCTCTTTGGCACCTTATTCTCCTTTAATTCTACCTTAGACAATTCCAACTCTATCCCTCCTACTCCTGCTCCTCCCACTGAACCTATGTACTTTTCTATAATCTCCACTCGTAGGGTTCCTGGTGTGTTATCCAGGTTGGATGTGAGTAAGGCGCATGGACAGACGGAATACCCCCTCGTGTTCTGAGGGAGTGTGCTGAAGTTCTGGCCCCTGTGCTTGCTCGCCTCTTTCGCCTTTGCCTCATAACCCAAACTTTTCCTTCTTCTTGGAAGCATGCCTCGGTTGAGCCCATCCCGAAGAAGGGTGACCATTCCAATCCCTCTAACTATCGTCCCATTGCTCTAACTACATCCCTATCTAAGATTTTCCAAACTATCTTGAACTCTCATTTTCACCATCACCTTGAAAGCCATTCTCTTTTGTCAGATCACCAGCATGGCTTTTGCCAGGAGAGATCTACTGGTGATCTGCTCTTCTACTGCACCCATCTTTGGTCATCTTCTCTTAGGAATTATGGGGCAACTTTCTTCGTGACCCTTGACATGTCCAAAGCGTTTGACAGGGTATGGCACAAGTCTTTGCTTTCTAAACTTCCCTTCTTATGGTTTCTCTCCCCCATTTTGTTCTCTAATTTCTAGCTTCCTTGAGAACCGATCCATGGCAGTTGTTGTCGATCTCTCGCTCTTTCTCTACCAATAGTGGTGTCCCACAGGATTCTGTTCTTTCACCTACTCTCTTCCTTCTTTATGATGGCAAGAAGTCTCCATTCGATCCCTGAATTCTGCATGGAAGGCACTGTGGCCAACAGCAGTCCATGATTTTGAGGGATTTGAGGAAGAAACGGAGTTGGACAAGGATATTGTGTCCATTGGTCAGTCAATGGGACTTGAAGTGGAGGAGGATGATGTTGAAGAGCTTGTGATGTCTCATGAGCAGGAACTTACTCATGAAGATTTGAAACAACTGGATGAGATGTTAGAAACAGACAGTGGTGAGGAGGAAAGGGAAAGTGATGACCATATGTCTTCTTCAGAATTAAAAGATGTTCACCACTGGGAGATGTTCAGGAAAACTGGCGTCAAGGCACCCTGATGTGGAAACAACAGAACCGATTTTGTGTAATGTTGAGGACAAAGTGGTCTCCTTCTTCAAGAACCAGCTAATGATCAGGAGGAGAAATGCCCCACAACCAAAAATTGACAGTTTCTTCTCTAAAAGGCAGCGGGAGAAAGATACTTCCCCTCAGCCTTCCACTTCAAAAAGGAGAGAGGATTTTCCTGTTGGAGAATCTGTCAGTCCAGAGGTTCCTGACATTATTATGGAAGGTGACTCGCCTTCCAAGAAGCAGTAAAATGCTTCTCCTCCACCCCCACTTACTTCTCTTCTCCCTTCTCCTCCACCCCCCACTTCAAATTCCCATCAGCATCATCAACCCAGAGCCTTCTACATACACACCTCAAAGTAAGTGTACTTCACTGCATTTTTTTTTTACTTTGTATGTAATTTTCGGTGAGCTGGAACCAATTACCCAATATCCCACTGAAACAATGGATTCGGTTAATGAAATTTTCAATTTACGAACGACTCTCTGGAACGAATTGTGTTCGTTAACCGAGGGACCACTGTACAGCACTGTACTGTACAGTCTACTGTACAATAATAAATAAAAAACAATAGAATACTATATTTTAACTTACTTTGAGGTGTGTATGTCGTATTTGCGGCAGCATTCTTTACATATCAAACAGCTGATTGTAGAGGCAGTCAATGATGACATGCCATATTCTTTACAGAGTGCATTGGTTCTAAAGCCTACTTCATGTTTCATAATAATTTCTGCACTGTATATTATCAATATGTTAACTAAATTTCAGAATGACAAATAATTTTAATGTAAAAATGCAAAAATATTTAAGAGACCAACAAACTGGATGTTCACTCCATTGTAAACAAAGTTAAAGTGAGAAGCATTTGTGGGTGATTCAATCAGCTGATGGGCACACAAAAACTGTTCCCTGTACTGTATACATTTTCAATATGTTAACTAAATTTTAGAATGACCAATAATTTTAATATAAAAAATGCAAAAATATTCAAGAGCACAATTTTCTTGATATTTACTCCACTGGAAACGAATGTAAACATAGAACCAATTACAGTACTGTATTGGCGGACTAGCCGATCAGCTGATGCACACAACAAAGCGTGTTTCTCTTAAGGCTGTCATTAATGGAACCGAAATTTTGTTAATTGGACCATTCGCTAATCGAGGGACCACTGCTTTTGATAACTACGCACCTTGCTATTTCCCCTCCCTGACAGCTGTCAACACCTCACCTCCCCCTCCCCCTTCCACCCAGCCAGGGTGAAGGCAGTTTTAGGCTAAAAGTTTTTATCTTATAAAATGTCGCTGACTAGACTTTGCAGAATATAACTTGCATTGCTGGAATCCTTGTAAGATAGTAATAAATTTTAGTAAAAGCATAACATAGTTTGCACATGAAATCAAATTTTTAGTCCTTTTGTGTAGTACATTTGAGTACAAAGTGTGTACGGTAATATGTTGCTCAAAATGAGGGATTTTTCACATTTAATTTACATTTAATATTTGTTTAGGTTTCTAGCAGTCCTTGGTGCTTTAGAGACACGGAAGGTGTATAATTAGTGGGTCAGAGGTGTATTGTTGAATTATTATTACCTGACCTCGGTTGGCCCGACAAAACGGATAATCCGGCAAGGCTTTGGAACCAAAGGTGCTGGAAAATCGGTGGCGTACCTTTATATGTATCACCCTTCCTTTCTCCAGCATAAATTGCATGCCAGAAAATACTCAGAATCCACGCATCTTGACCTAGTTGCCAGTTATCAAAATAATCAAATAATCTAAGAGGTTTTAATACTGCAGCCCAAATTGATATTGCAACCAGCATATCAGGGTGGTGGCAGCATAATTACCAGTTAACTAATTACTGTAATGAGAAAGAAGATAAGTACAAATTCTCAGGCATGGCCAAATGAAATATAATTAAATTTAAAGTAAAATTAGAAGGGGAATACAAATCATACAACCATTCAACCTTTCATAAAATCATATGGTTGTATGGTACAGAATTGGGTGATCTTGCTAAGAGTGAAACAACCACATGGTGGATTATTAAACTGTAAAGAGAATGGAATTCCCTACTAGCTCCTGATTCATAAGAATCAGGGGATCAACAACATCTATCTGGCAAATTACATCATGACAGGAGAGGTTTGTACTGTATGAATGGGGACATCTAATAGTGTACAAGTATTTATATTTACCTTTGTAGTTTTTGTATGGGTAACTCATCTAAACTTGATCATGTGGCCAGAAAAAATCATTAAATTATAACTGACAATGCCAGGAAGGACATATTACTAGTATATAAATAAATATAGACTTACCTCAGTGGGAATTTGGCCTTTGAGTTGAAGAGTCTCATGATCTAAGATGTATATAGTGCCACTATTAGCTCCCAGCACTATCAGAGTGGGACACAGGTCAAAACATATTACCTGTGAAAATGAAATAAAGTCATACATGATCTAGATACACTCACTCCAAAAAGTATCTGTACTATTTGTGAGACAATATGACACAATGGACAAAGTACAGGGTATTTTGATAACTCTTCAAAAAAACAGGAGCCTTGGTGTTCATTTTGAAATTAATTGGACCCTTCATAAATATACCTTTTGGAGCAAGTATACATATGGTAATATTACATATGTTGATATTCTGTGTTACTGTGATATCTTTCAATGACCCAATTAATCTATGCTTTTTCCTAATTACAATTCAAAAAGTAATACAGTAATATTCCTATTAGCAGGAATCCTCGAACCCTGGAACTTTCCGTTACCCGGAAAATAATATTTTAGCATTCTGAGAAATTCTGATAAATATCTCCCCCTTCTGGATTTTCAAATGAACTTCCAAGTGATTGCATCATATGACAATCACGTGACATGAATCAGACAAAAATTTACAAAATTTGAAGAAATAGCTTGCCAATCATAAGCATCATTTGTTATTGTTGTGGAATGGCGTAGCATGACTCACATGGTCCTGCCAGCCCATCCCGCATGTCCGCACCACACTCAGTCATAATCATCAAAGGATCAGAAAAATTTATTTTCAGTAGTGCATATTCAGGGTTAAAATGCAACTGGTCTTATATTTTTTTTATTAAACAACATTACCAATAGGTTGAATAATTAAATAAACAGAATTATTAAAGAAGAAGAAGAAGAAGAAGAAGAAGAAGAAGAAAGAAGAAGAAAGAAGAAGGAAGAAAGAAAAGAAGAAAGAAGAAGAAGGAAGAAGAAGAAGAAGAAGAAAGGAAGAAGAAGAAGAAGAGAAGAAGAAGAAGAAGAAGAAGAAGAAGAAGGAAGAGAAAGGAAAGGAAGAAAGAAAGAAGAAGAAAGAAGAAGATAAAGAAGAAGAAGAAGGAAGAAAAGGAAGAAGAAGAAGAAGGAAGAAGAAGAAGAAGAAGAAGAAGAAGAAGAAGAAGAAGAAGAAGAAGAAGAAGAAGAAGAAGAAGAAGGAAGAAGAAGAAGAAGAAGAAGAAGGAAGAAGAAGAAGAAGAAGAAGAAGGAGAAAGGAAGAAGAAGAAGGAAATGGAAAGAAGGAAGAAGAAGAAGGAAGGAAGAAGAAGAAAGAAGAGAAGAAGGAAGAAGAAGAAGAAGAAGAAGAAGAAGAAGAAGAAGAAGAAGAAGAAGAAAATAGAAGGAAGAAAGAAGAAGAAAAAGAAGAAGAAGAATAAGAAGAAGAAGAAGAAGAAGAAGAAGAAGAAGGGAAGAAGAAGAAGAAGGAAGGAAAGAAGAAGAAGAAAAGAAGAAGAAGAAGAAGAAAAAGGAAAGAAGAAGAAGAAGAAGGCTAGTAGAAAGAAAAGTTGAAGAAGAAGGAAAGAAAGGAGGAAGAAGAAGAAGAAAGGAAGAAGAAGAAGAAGAAGAAGAAGGAAATGTAGTTGAAGAAGAAGAAGAAGAAGAAGAAGAAGAAGAAGAAGGAAGAAGAAGAAGAAGAAGAAGAAGAAGAAGAAGAATAAATAGAAGAAGAAGAAGAAGATAAAGTAAATAGTTAGAAGAAGGAAAGAAGAAGAAGAAGAAGAAGGTAGCAATAAATAGAGAAGAAGAAGAAGAAGAAGAAGAAGAATAATAAATAAATGAAGTAAGAAGAAGAAGAAGAAGAAATAAGAAGAAGAAGAAGAAGAGTAAAGAAGAAGAAGTGAAGAAGAAGAAGAAGAAGAAGAATAATAAGAAGAAGAAGAAGAATAGTAAAGTAGCAAAATAAATAAAAGGAAGAAATAAAGAAGAAGAAGGAAGATAAGAAGAAGAAGAAGAAGAAGAAGAAGAAGAAGAAGAAGTAAGAAGAAGAAGAAGAAGAAGAAGAAGAAGAAGAAGAAGAAGAAGAGAAGAAGAAGGAAGGAAGAAGAAGGTTGGAAGAAGAAGAAGAAGGAAGAAGAAGAAGAAGTAAAGATGAAGAAGAAGAAGAATAATAGGAAGAATGAATGTTGTAAGAAGAATAGAAGAAATAAAAGAAGAAGAAGAAGAAGAAGAAGATGTAGAAGAAGAAGAAGAAGAATAGTTAGAATAAGAAGTAATAAATAAATAAGAAGAAGAAGAAGAAGAAGAAGAAGAAGAAGAAGAAGAAGAAGAACAGTTGAAGAAGAAGAAGAAGAAGAAGAAGAATAGTAAAGAAGAAGAAGAAGAAGAAGAAGAAGAAGAAGGTTGAAGAAGAAGAAGAAGAAGAAGAAGAAGAAGAAAGAAGAAGAATAGAAGAAGAAGAATAGAAGAAGAAGAAATAATAAAATAAAGAAGGAAATAAATAAATAAAAGAAAAGAAGAAGAAGAAGAAGCTAAATAGGTAGGAAGAAAGAAGAAGGAAGAAAGAAGAAGAAGAAGGAGAAGAATAAAGAAGAAGAAGAAGAAGAAGAAGAAGAAGAAGAAGAAGGAAGAAGAAGAAGAAGAAGCAAGAAGAAGAAGAAGAAGAAGAAGAAGAAGAAGAAGAAGAAGAAGAAGAAGAAGAAGAAGAAGAAGAAGAAGAAATAAAGAAGAAGAAGAAGAAGTGAAGAAGAAAGGAAGAAGGAAAGAAAGAAGAAGAAGGAATAATAGTTGATAAATAAAAATAGAATAAATAAGAATAAAGAAATAAATAATGAAGAAGAATAAATAATAAAATAATAAGAATAAATAAAGAAGAAGGAAGGAAGAAGTAGAAGGAAGAATAAATAATAAAAGGTAATGAAGAAGAAATAAATAAATAAGGAAGGAAGAATATAACAATAAAGAAGAAGAAATAGAAATAAAGGAGGTGAAGAAGAAGAAGAAGAAAAGAAGAAGAAGAAATAAATAGAATAAGTAGTTGAAGAAGAAAAATAAATAAATAAATAATAGAAGAAAATAAATAGGTATTAAATAAATGAAGAAGAAGAAGAAGTTAAAATAAAGAAGAAGAAGAAATAGTAGAAATAAATATAGAAGTAGAAGAATAAATAATAAGTAAATAGAAGAAGAAGTAAATAAAAGAAGAAGAAGGAAGAAGAAGAATAAATAAATAAAGGAAGGAAGAAGGAATAAAGAAGAAGAAGAAGAAGGAAGAAGAAGAATAGTAAATAAAATAAAGAAGAAGAAGAAGAAGAAAATAATAAATGAAGAAGAAGAAGAAATTAATAAGTTATTAAGAAGAAGAAGAAGAAATAAGGAAGAAGAAGAATAAAGAAGAAGAAGAAGAAGAAGAAGAAGAAGAAGAAAGAAGAAGAAGAAGAAGAAGAAGAAGAAGAATAAAATAATAATGAAGAAGAAGAAGTAAATAGAAGAAGAAGAAGAAGGTATGAAGAAGAAGAAGAAGAAGAATAAGAATCCTTGGGGAGAAAAAACAGAAAGAAATTGTAAATATTAAGAAAAAAAATATTTATACATTACTGTATTAATCTACAACACAAAGGAGCCGGAAACACTTTTTTAGTGAGATGATTAAAGATAGCATGGAAAACACAGAAGAAGGCAGAGCATTCCACAATTTGCTGTGTGAGGAAAGAAGGGTAGTACATTTATAACGGGTTATTTGCAGCACTGACATCTACACAGAGAGAGAATGTTGGGACGCGAAGATGTTACTCCATGCCTTGTCGGGGCAGGATGCCAAATGCCTGGAATTGTCTAGTACCTGTAAAAGAGAGGAGGAGGAAGCAACACGAGTAAGAGAAAGGGAGAGAGATTGTCTATCAAAGGGAGGAGGAGTTTAATAAATGCCTTGATTCCACCCTATCTAATAGTTGACAGAAGAAGAGCCACCTTAGATATGAGAGCAGTATCTAAGTTAGGGGAATTAACTTTATAGTTACTTGGAGCAATCTGTTGTGTGAGTGAAGTAGTTGTGTATCTGTACAGTATTTCAAACTTTTGGAGGAAGGTATATACTAAGGATGTGTGATTTGAGACATATTGGAGGAAATGGTTAGTCTAATATTTATTTCAGAATTTGGGAGTGATGATAGGGCCTGAAATAATTGGTGGAGGATGCTTAATTTTGACAAAGTGTAATTGGTAAATATTGAGTTTTTTTATTATTTAACTTGACCAAGTTTGTATCTCCCTATTCAGAGATGCTGCACAGACCGTTGATAGAAGTAAGATATCAGTTCTTGAAACAGCTAGGTTGAGATTTAGAGGAAGGAAAATGTGAGGAAGAGGAAGAGAAGTATCATTTTGTGGTAGAATAGTGAAGTAAATCATTATAAAAGAGGAAGAGAGTTGGTGAAAGAAATGAATTCTGTGAACGCCACAGAAAGAGCGAGGAAATTGATCCCCGGCCAACAACTCATGGATCGGCTCAAGGAAGCTAGAGATGAGAAACAAAGTGAGGGAGAGAAACCAAAAGGAAGTTTAGGATAAAAGAGCCATAATTCTGTCAATGCTTTGGAGATGTCGTAGGGCCACAAAGTTTCTATAATCCCTAAGAGAGGATGACCAAAGATGGTGCAATAGGAGAGCAGATCACCAGTAGATCTCGCCTGGCAAAAGCCGTGATTGGTGATCCACGTTAGTAGGGGCTGCTCAAGGAGTGCAAGAAAGGGGCTTCAGATGCATGAGTGAATTTGACACAGGGATTTCAGCAAATATGTTGTTGTGTAGTGCTGCCAGCAAGGGCGCGGGTGTAGTGGTGTCCTCTGGATCTAAAATGTTGTTGAGTGATATTCGATTGTGGGTGCGGAATTTCAGTGTCGTGAATACGGTGTCACCCTGGAGCATTGTCACCGGTTGTCTGCCTCATCCTCCACGGCATTGGTCGAATAGTCTGTGTGTCTGGCTGCATGCATCACTGTTTAACTGTTAATGCTTGGCGGACGGGTTGGCAGATGCCAGTGCTATGTCGATAGGGCTTACTTTGGCGGGGGCATGCGGTTCTTGCGCTGCGCTCTACACTTGCCGTCAGCCCCACAAGTAACGGTCACTTCATGTAGTGACTAATCTTATGATGGTGATCGGAAATAGTGGTTATTTCTGCTATGATA